CTTTTTGTGATGGTGGTAAAGAACCGGAAATTGAGGGGATGCCCAGCAATTGGGAAATGACGGAACAAGTTGTGATATATGATTGTGATGGAATACTATTGTTCTACAAGAAATGATGAATAGGCAGATTTCAGAAAAACCTGGGAAGCCTTACATGACCAAATATAAAGTGAAGTGAGAAGAACCAGGAGAACATTGTACACAGTAACAACAATATTGTATGATGATCAACTGTGAATGATTTAGCTATTCTCAAGCAATACAATGGTCTAGATACAATACAATACAATACAATTGTCTCAGACGATTCTAAAGGACCCATGATGAAAAATGCTATCTACCTCCAGAGAAAGAACTGATGGAGTCTGAATGAAGATCAAAGCATACTTTTTAAAAACTTTCTTTATTTTTTTATTTATTTTTTAGTCTGTTTTCTTTCACAACATGACTAATATGGAAATATTTTTGCATAACTACACATGTATAACCTGTATCAAATTACTTACCTTCTTAATGAAGAGGGTGGGAAAGGAGAGAGAAAATTTGGAACTCAAAATTAAAAAAAACCCAAATGTTAAAAATTATTACATGTAATTGAAAAATCAAATAACATATTTGGGGGGGAAGTAACTCCATTAGGAAATGTGTAATTATTCTACACTTTTAAATTTAATATGACAAATGTGATCATTCTGTGAGCAGACAAACTTATGCACCAAGCAAATATTTGCTATTAAATATTTCTGTAATATTATCAATGACAGAATCATAGATCTACAGGTATCGACCCAGAAAGGACAAAGATTTGTCACTGCTAAGATTAATCAAAAGAGTGGGCTACAATGCAAAGAGTTGCAGTGGACAGAATGTTGGGCCTGGAGTCAGGAAGACCTGAGTTCAAATCTGACCTCATACACTTTGTAGCTGCATGATCCTGGGCAAGTCACTTAAGTTTGCCTCAGTTCCCTCATCTGTAAAATGGGGATAATAACAGCACCTACCTTGTTATGAGGATCAAACGAGATAACACTTGTAAAGTGCTTAGCACAGCACGTGTTAGGTACTTAATAAATGCTTATTCCCTTCCTCTTCTCTTCTGATGTAGTCCAACATTGTTTTCTGTTCTGACCAGAAACTCTGAGGGCCTTCCGCTCCCAGATTTAAATTTTTGTGATAACAAACGAAGCCATCTTTTGTCTCAGTTCTTACCTAGTCCTTAGTCATTGAATGGGCATTGACTCAGACAAACTGAGACCTGACAAAGACCTTAATACAGAAAGGCCAAGGCCACCCACTGCATCCGGGGCCATCACCAGACATCTTGACCTTTGTCTTGTCCCTGGACTTCAATGACTGTGGAGGAGGGAGTGAGGCTGATGACTTTGTGCAGCTCTGCCTCACTTAAATCCAATTCATTCACCAGTTAAGACATCACCTTGGTGATGTCATTGGTCCTCTTGGAGACCAAAGGTCCAGCAACAACAGTGAGGAGTGAACTGAAGCCAGGGTTGTGGACTGATTTACTCAAAAAGGCAATTAAACATCAGATGCAGGGTGCTTCTCCCTCTGTGGATGTCCAGCACCACTCCTCCATGCCTGAGTCAAGGTTTGTTTGTTTGTTTGTTTTTGTGAGGCAATCAGGGTTAAATGACCTGCCTACATCACACAGCTAGTAAGTGTCAGGTGTCTGAGGTCAGTTTTGAATTCAGGTCCTCCTGACTCCAGAGTCAGTATTCTATCCGTTGCTCCATGGATAGAACGCCATGGAGCACCATCTAGCTGCCCCAAGTCAAAGGTCTTTATGAATTGCTGTGGAAGAAAAAAAAATCATCAGGTGACCCCCTCCCTGAATTTAACTAGGTTGATCCTCAAATGACAGACACACAATCTGTCAATGAGACCAGTAGATCTCTAATAATCAATTTAGAAGGAGGAAGATAATTTTAAGCACTTGAAATTCTTTTCCGCCCCGGTCTATAAAACATTGATCTATTTTTATATTTCACTATTTGGGTTTTTGTCTTAGTTTGTTTTCTTGTTGTAGAATTCTTGTCCTCTTGGCAGGAGACAAGGGAACACAGCCCTGTGTGAGGAGGAAACAGATGCTAGGATGCTGTGAAGCTGCTGTCGGTAGGTTTCTCAGAAGCTCAGGTCCCGGGGTGGGGGGGAGACAAGACGAGGCTTTGGAGGAGCTCCCCTGGTTTAACTGGCATCAGGAAAGGAAGCTCATCATCTGGTATTTTCCTATTTTTATTAATTACCTTACCATATAGGTGCTAGGGCAGTTGTGTGGTACAGTGGATAGAGCTTCAGTCAGGAATACTTGAGTTCAAATCCAGCCTCATATATTTACTAGCTGTGTGATCCTGAGTAAGTCACTTAACCTTGTCTGCCTCAGTCTCCTCATCTGTAAAATGAGCTGGAGAAGGAAATGGCAACCCACTTGGGTATCTTGCCAAGGAAACCCCAAATGCAGTCATGAAGAGTAGGATGCAACTGAAAAATGACTGAAAGACAACAACAACATGTAGGTGCTAAGTTCAATTGCTTCTCTGCTGCAGAAAGAGTACAAGTGTTCTCAGCCCTCTGAATTTTAGAACCCTGGAACAAAGCCCCAGTTGCTTTGCCCTAGTTATGGCTCTGGAGATCAATGCATTTCCAGCTTCGTGACATCTAACAAAGGTTGTGCTCTGCTCATAGTGGATTCAGGAACTCTAAGGCATCTCCTGGCCAAGATGAGGCATTAGAGGAGAGCTCTAGTATGGGCTTTTTGAATAGGCATATTTTATTCCTAAACTAAGAGACGTTTAGGGTTGTTACTCTTCGAAAGTTGGGTAGATCCAGGATCTTACAGGAGAAGGTGCTCCCACCACCAAGGCAGAGAGATTACAATGCCTCCATGTTTTCTCATTCCATGTGATTCTTGTCCAAGTCCTTCCATAAATGCTCCTTAAAGGATTGACACAATTTACTGGAGGCCTTCTACTGTTTTGTGCATATAAGTACAGTACTCAGGCTGTCTGTCATTCCTGGGTCTCCCCATTCACTAGCCTACCTCGTTTTCCAGTCCTAAATGTTCTTGATGAATATGTTTCATGGCACTTCTTACGTGCAAGTCATCATTAATAATATGCCACAGCCTTCTTATACCCACCCTGAGTATTTCCATTGCCCTTTGGAGGCACCCACAATTTTGAATCTTCAGAGATTGTGGGTGTTCCATGATTCACAGCCAAATGGCACTACCAGAGAACTAATGTTGAAAAGATGGGCTGTTTTCCTATTAAATTCCAGGTCCATATTAAGCATTATGAATATTAAAGAAACTACCAATAGCTTGACAGACATTAAGTACTTGCTATGCGTAAGACATTGTACTAGGGCTGCAAAGACAAAAACAACACATTCCCTGCCCTCACAGAGATTCTGTTCAGACCTTATGAACTAATACAGCAGTTCTCAAAGTATGGACTGTGGACTCCTGGGAATTCCAGAGATTCTTTAAGAGGGTCCATGAGGTAAAAAATATTTTCAGAATAATACTGATATTATTTTCCTATTAAAATACCCCTCCCTTTTCCAACTTCATATTTGTGTGTGGCTAGATTTTTTTCATACACTTCATCTACAATAACATATTGCAACAGATTGAATGCAAAAGTAGGTATGATGGTTCAGTAGATAGAGCCCCACCCCTGGAGTCAGGAGGACCTGAGTTCAAATCTGACCTCAGACACTTAACACTTACTAGCTGTGTGACTCTGGGCAAATCACTTAACCCCAATTGCCTCACACCCCCCCCCCCAAAAAAAAGAAGAAGAAGAAGTAGATATGAGAATCCAGCTGTCTTCTATTAAGCTAAACATTAGATTTCAGAAATATGTAAAACAATGTCACTATTATCACTATTTTTTTGTTTTGGAAAATATACTTATTTTTCCTCAAAATGTTATTTATATTAATATGTAATGGGTTTATTGTTATTTTAAATGAATTGATAAATAAAATGTTATCAGTTTTAATTTCTAATAGAGTAAATATTGATAGACATAATCCAAATGAAGAAAGCTCTTTGAGGTCTTCAATAATTTTTATGTCTATAAAGGCCTCCTGAGACAAAATTTGGGAACTGCCTGAATTAGTGTAAGGAACTCTCAGTAAGGAAACTCCCTTTGCCTAAGATGTGCAATTGATAATCTTAGATGTTAAGAGACTTGCCCAGGGTCCCACAGCAAGTATGTGTCAGGGTCAGGGACTTGATCCCAGTTCTTCCTGACTCAGGGGTCAGGTTTCTATCCACTAATAATAATAATAACAAACATTTATTTTTTTTAAATAACTAACATTTAAATGGTGTTTATTATGTGTCAGGCATTTTACAATTATTATCTCGTTTGATCCTCAAAAAGCCTGGGAGGTAGATTATTATCCCCACTTCACATAGGGCAAAACTGAGGCAAACATGTTAAGTGACTTGCCCAGAGTCATACAGCTACGAAGTGTCTCAGGTCACCTTTGAACTTATCTTCCTGTTTTACTGGTATTGCAGATATTTCTATACACACACACTTTTCTCTCCACGTCTTCAAAATTCCAGGTAGATTCTCATCCTGGTAGTCCAGATTCCTCCTGGGTACAGGGTCCACACCCTCCACACTGATGAGCTGCTCCTCAGCCTGCCTGGAGGGGAGTATTACACTGGTGTCCCAGCCTCAGGGAGGGAAGCTTTTACAGAACCCTCACACCACCTCTGAACCTCGACTTGATGTCCATCACCTCCAGCAACCTCTATCCCTCCCACCTCAAGAAAATTCACATTCCGGCATGTCAGTAAAGAAGCCCAGAGTCTCCAGGTAGAGGAGGCTAAAACTCCCAACAGCCAATAGTAACTGAGACACAGCAGCCAATGCCCAATGAGGACGGGGAGTGCAGCAGTGGGCGGGGAGGGAAGGGAGCCCGAGTGGGTTTAAGTCGCAGGCGCCTGGAGCCGCGGAGCCCAGAGCAGCTCTGCAACGGGAGGGAGCCATGAGCTGGACTTGCCCGCGGTGCCAGCAGCCTGTGTTCTTTGGTGAGGCCAGGGGAGTCTGGGAGAGACCCAGGGATGGGTTTAGGGGAGATGCTGGAACCAAAGTTTGAAGAAGTTTAGAAAATTTGAGGGAGACTCTGGGAGTGAGTTTTGGGGAGTTCTTGGAATGGAGAGAATTTGGGGGATACCTTGGGAGGCAGCTTGTGGAGGAAATCCTGCATATAAAGAAGTTATGGAAGACTCTGGTAACCAAGTTTTGGGGATATCTTGGGAGCAAAGTATGGAGGAGACCATGAGTTATACATAGGAGGGACTGTGGGATGAAAATTTGGTGAAGACACTGGGAGGGGTTATTTGGGGAGGCAATTGTAGGAAGTAATTTAGGATATGATAGATCCCGGGAGGTCCCAGGACCTGAGGAAAGGAAAGGGGATGGGAAAGGATATGAGGCCCCAGGATTTCCACTCCTTTGCGGTTGGTACTGTATGATATCCCTGGCTGACTGGGTAGGGGCTGGAGTAGGGGATCTATCTCTTATCCCTAACCCCCATTGCCTGGAGTAGACTCCCAGGAATGGGGCTGGGACCCTGGAGGCCCTCTTTACTTCTTCTTGGGTTAATTGGCCCTAAGATTGGGTATCAGGAGCTGGCAAAGCTGCAAAATATTGGGCCCACTGTAAGGGGAAGTGTTTAGGTAGAGTGGGAGAATGAGGAGTGGTCTCTACCAAGTCCCCTAAGACTCCTCAAGGGCTGAGGAAGAAAGGGCTAATGAGAACATTCTCTTCTACAACACCCATCTGTCCCCTTTCATCACATTACTAACGTCCCCGAGGGGCTGAGCTGCAAACCGAGATCCTAACACTCCACTGTCCACTCTGTTCCTTCACATAGCTGAAAAGGTGAGCTCCCTGGGTCAGAACTGGCACCGATTCTGCCTGAAATGTGAGCGCTGCCACAATGTCCTAGCTGCAGGTGGACATGCTGAGGTGAGGCCCCTATTGGGAGTGTGGGAGAAGAGAAGGGAGGGGAGGAGAGAGAAGCTGGTATGACCCAAATGGGTAGAGAGATAAGCATAAGGGCTGTCCAGATTATCAGCCCTGAATGCCCTGCCTGGCTGTTCTTTCTGTGCCTGGATCGTGTCTCTGTTATGTGACTGCCCTTAGCTCCCTCCCTTGTCCCTAAGTCAATCTCTCCCTAAGGCACACAGTGAATAGAGCACTGGGCCTAGAGTCAGGAAAACCTGAGTTCAAATCTAGCCTTAGAAACTTACTAGCTGCATGCCCTGGGCAAGTCACATGACCACTCTTTGCCTCAGTTTCCTTATCTATAAAATGAGGACTATAATAGCACCTACCTCACAGAGTTGTCATGAGGATCAATAAGATAATAATTGTAAAGCTCTTAGTACAGTATCTGGCACATAGTAAACACGATATAAATGTTTTATTGTTGTCATTGTAGTTATGGCATTTCCCCCATACCTCCAACCCAGTTCTAGCTCCTCCAGCCCCTAAGAACTTTTTAATCGTTTGCCATTTCCCATGCCACACCCTCTCACCACCTAGCATCAACTTTGACAACAGGGAAGCTCAGCTTCACCCCTATTTAATTTTAAATCCTGGTCCAGGAGTTGAGTTAGAAGGAGGGCTGGTAGGGAGGGAAGGTTAAATGGAACTTCTGGTCTTCTGATCATTGATGTTCTCCTTTCACAGTTGGTCATGAGTCAGCCCAGTGCCCAGCTGGCCCTGGGTGAACCCCCAAATGGTACCTGCCCAGGCCAGTCATATTTGGGAGCAGATAAATTCCCTTTCCTTTTCTATTAATTGTAGGATCCAGGCCAGATTGGAAGGGATAGAGTGATCAGCATCTTCCAATTATAAGTCATAATACTCTTTGGGTATTATGGAGAACAGGTGCTCCCTGACTCCCTAGACAGCTTTAGATTATGGAGGTGGCAGTCCAGAGAGGATCGGGGCTTTAGGACCCTAAACTGGAGTCGATTGTGCCTTTCCCTCAGCTGGAAAATAAGGGACATGGGGTGGAGGTGGGAGTCTCCTGCGAATTCTCCATAGGATCTCTGCAGTGACTTCACCACTTTTTCCAATTCCTGCTTTCTCCCTGAATTCAGCATAATGGAAAGCCATATTGTCACAAACCATGTTATGCAGTTCTCTTTGGACCCCAGGGTAAGTGCCTGTCCCCACAAGGGATGGAGGGAGGGAAGGAAAGCAGTAGAGTGCAGTGTCTCATCCTGACCTGAAAAGAGGGGATATGATGAGATGGTCCTGAGAACTGGAGCCATGGGTTTGGGAAGGGGCAGGGAGCAGCTCCTAGAAAGGACATTGGGGCTGGGCAAGGGGCATCTTCTGAGGATACTTGGACACCCCCATTCTCACCCCCTACTCTCTTCTTCCTTTCTGTTCTGGGTTTCAGGAATCAAAATTGGTGGGGTGGGCACCTACATCGAAGATCTTCCCCGTCCTCCAACTACCATCACCACCATGCCCTTGACTGCTGGCAGCTTTAGTCCACCTAGGAGCAGGACAGGCCTCCCTCAGGCCAAGAGGGCAAGGAGGAGTAAGTGCCCTTTTGGAGTAAGTGGAGTATATAGCATCAGAAAAACTTTACCCCTAACTCAGCTTCTTGCCCCTTCTGGGGTAGCAGGGAGTTCAGAATTACTGGGAAAGGAGGTTTTCCACTCCAATACCCTCATCACCCACCCTCATCTCTGGGGTCAGAAATAATAGCAATATTTGTGCCACCTCCTGTCATATTTTCCAAAGACATGGTTGGAGCTCAACTCTGACATATTGGCTGTGTGGTCTTGGGCAAATCTCTCTATGCTCTGGGCAACTCTCTTAAGACCAGCAGCATGAAATTCAAATACAAAACAGATCCCTGTGGCCCTCATATTGACTTAGGAAACCATAGGTTGACATTTTGTATGCTGTATTATATTTTTGTTTATTTTATTAAACATTTCTCAATTACATTTTAATCTGATTGGAGCTGTCAGAGTTTGATACCTCTGCTCTAAGGCTGTAAGAGGGTTGGGCTGGAAGGTGCTGACCTGAATTGGCAGAGGGAGTTTGCTCACTTTGGAGTTCCTTTTACCAATGAGATCACAAATCCATTCCCAGTCTCTCTCATTGGGTACTTATGCCAGTTCTGTGAGGTGGACAGGGTGATTTCTCTGCTCTCATGGCATCTGTTTCCAGTTCTGATCTCCCCACCCCCGAAATGTCATCCTATATTTCCAACTGACTGCTGGACAACTCCTCATAGATGTCCCATTGGCATCTTAACACGTCCTAAACAGAAACTAGTATGTTTTGACCTAAATCTCCCCTTCCCTCCATCCTTCCCCCCTCTTCAGCTTCCCTATTTCCATTGAGAATGCCTTCCTTCTGCTCACCCAGCTTTACAACCTTGGAGCGCTTTGATTTTTCCCTTTCCTTTACTTGCCCCATGTGCCATGAGTCATCAAATCTTATTGATTCCATCTTCAAAGCAACTGTCAAATTCATCCCCTTCTCTCTATTCTGATGGCCTCTGGCTCAGGCTTCTCATCTCTCATTCCTTACCTCACTATTATTGTAAAAGCCACCCTGACTGTAGTCTCTCTCTTTGACCATCCATCTATCCATCCCAAAGCTGCCAAAATTATCTGCCAAAGAAACAATACTGAGGGCTCCATTTCCTGCCCAGAAATGTTCAGGGGCTTCCTGTTATCCCTGTGTCTTCTCCTATTGTAAGAGAAAACACAAAATTCCTCAGCAGGGGATTTAAACCCCACCCCTATATAGTCCCAACCTACCGTTCCTGCCTAATCCCCTTCACATACTCTATGTCACAGCTGAGGGATGGGAGCCCCAGTTGTGGGCAGAATATATCCCAGAAAGAAGAGAAGAGGGCCTTCAGAGACACACCTGGAAGACTTCCCGTGTGCAATATATATTTATTATAATAATATTTATTTTATTTTATATATTTATAGAATATATGTTTTCTATTTATAATAATGTACTATTTATCTTACAAAGTTATTTTATGTTTCTATATAATACGTACATATTATATATGTTGTATTTGTTATAATATGTATTTATATGTTAATTTTATTTCTATATTTCTACATAATGTATATATATTATATAATTATTATAATATATTATTAATCATCTGTGTGTGGCACACTTCAAGGCAGTGGGAAGAATCAAATTAGTGCATAGCAGAGAGAGTTGGAAACTTTACTTTGTATTATAGATCTGCTTCTTAGTATCTGTGTGACCTTGGACAGGTCATTTCTCTTGTAAGGTCTTCAGTTTCCTCATTCCTAAGCTCCCACTCAGTTTATGAATGAGGAAACTGAGGTGTAGAGAGGTTAAAGTGGACTTGACTAAGGTCACACAGCTATTCAGTGGCTAATCTGGGATAAAACCCAGGTCACTCAGTCCAGTGCTATGGAAAGATGTGGCAATAGTGATCTTTGTCTTTTAACTTCTTCTCCCCTTCTTCTCTTTGCCTGTGTATGGAGTTTTGATGTGGGAATACGTGCACGGCCCCGTCTTTTTGTCCCCTCTGCCTCCACTCCCTGCCGTTCCTCCCCAGCCCAAATCGGCAGTGACACCATGTTCTTCAACACCTGACACCACTTGCCCTGAGCCCCAGCTCCAATGTCCAGCTCAAGTTTCTTGCGGATTGAATTGCTGCTGATTGGGGCCAGGCAGGCGGGCGAGAGGGGGTTGGCACCTTGGCATCGAAGAGGAGGATGACCAGGGCCCCTGATGGATAGGAAGGAGGGTGGGTGAGGGGATGATATTGAGATATAGGATGTGTGTGTGTGTGTGTGTGTGTGTGTGTGGCAGGAAGATGGGATGATGGAGTAGGACACTTCATGGGTGGGTCAGGCCCCTGCTTTCCACCCCTTGAACTTGGGCTCTTAATGGAGAGAAGCACTAGCCCCTTCAGCAGACCATCCCTTTGCCCAGCTCCAGTGATGATGAGAAAGGGCTTTGGGCAGATTGCTTCCAGCCCCAGGCCCAGCCAAAGTCTTTTGTTTCCTAAGGCCCAACACAGGTGAAGACATATGCTGGAGAGACATCTCTGTGTCCTGGCTGTGGGAACCCTGTTTACTTTGGTGAGTTCAGGTAGGAGTAGGGGGTCAGAGGCAGATCTGGGCCATTGGGATGGGCAGGAATGGGGTTGGGAGAGACTGCATGAGAGTGGGAGGGGGGATCAGAGCCCTCCTCCTCCTGTTACTCCTGCCCAGGCACAGGGAACAACCCCTTAGCCATCCTCTGGGTACCATGACCTCTCTTTCTACTAGCTGAGAAAGTGATGTCCCTGGGCAGGAACTGGCATCGGCCCTGTCTCCGATGCCAGCGCTGCCGTAAGACCCTAACAGCAGGGAGCCATGCGGAGGTAAGCCAAGGGATTAATGCAGGTGGGACAGTGAGAGCCATGGGAAGATTGGGAGTCAGAAACAGGCAAAGTTGGGGGAGGGGTCTCAGAGTTCTCCTAGAACCTCAGAGCCACAGAACATGAGAGACAATTATCTAGTCCCACCCCTTCATCTCATAGATGGGGAAACTGAGGCTCAGAAAAGGTAGATGATTTGACTGAAGCTGTAGGTAACCTCTGAAGGGGAAAGAAGGAGGAGTGGGAGCAGGGGAGACTCAGGAAGCTGGAGAGAGCCCTGGAAGAAAAGTGGAGACTAGGTGGGGCAGAAGAATTTAGAGTAGGACTAAACCAAATTCCCGCTGTGTTCCCAGCATGATGGTTTCCCGTACTGCCACATCCCTTGCTACGGATACCTGTTTGGGCCCAAAGGTGGGAGCCCCGACCCCAGAAATCCCCATGCTGATATGCATTTCATTTGCATAGCTTATGCATGATTTGCATGTAGTTCCCTTGTATATTAAAATGCCTACTCCTTCGTGTACGCCCACTTCTCCCCAGTCCCCTACCCTCTCCCTTCCTTACTGCCCTCCTTTCCCTTCTCTCCTACTGTCTCCTTAGTTCCCTTCCCTCTTGCACTTATACCTCCTCCCTCTTCCCTTTTCCCCCAGTGTCTCTCCCCCCCAGTGCCTTTGGTGACTCTACTCTTTTACCCCTCCAGGTGTGAACATTGGTGACGTGGGCTGCTACATCTATGACTCCATAGAGTTGAAATCTGATTGAGAAGCTAACAGAAGAATGTGTTTTCCCTGTCCTGGGTCCCTCCTAGGCTCTCTCCATCTCCCAGGTTGAACAAGAGGGTCAGAGATTTCCATCCTTTCAGATTGGACAGGGGTCAGTGTTCCAGGTAGCCTCCAGGCTTCATTCCCCATTCCCCATCCTGGTTGCTGGCTTACACTTATCCCCATAGCACCTGCCATGCATCTGATGATGTAGGGATGAGAGGTGGTAGTACAGGAAGAGGGAGAGGATGCCCTTCCTCTTCCTGTGAAACTCAGCATGTTCCCTAGACCTTGGCTTCAGAAAAGCCCAAGTTCACGAGGAAGAATTGGGGAGAAGGGGAATCATGCCGGGGCTGCCCTGGTGGCAGTGCCATCCCCTCCCTTCAGTGACATCAAGGAATGGCCACCTTTCTCTCTAGGCGTCCCTGTGCTTCTACCTTCTCCCTCCCCTTCCTTGAAATTCACCCAATAAAAGAGTCTGCTCTTTTAATCTCAGCTTTCCCTTCTCTTGGCATTAGGCCTGGGAATCTGGGGCACAGGGTGGGGCATAGCAGGGGAGGACTGGCTGGGAAGAGGGGAATAGAGAGAAGCCTACTGAGTGTTCCTCCTTAGGGATGGAGTGTGAGGCAGTCACATTAGTAGGGCAGTTCCAGGCGGCAGCATCCATGGAGAGGAGGTAGCCCTTTTCTTCCGGGGACCAACAAAGCATCCCAGGCCCCGTAGCTGCCTTTCCTGCCTTTCTCCCCCCTGAACTGGGGCTTCATCGCAGACGGGGCTGTGGATGTGCCCAGCTGCTCCAGGTGACCAGAGTACTTACAATACAAGGGCCTTACACTTTCCAAAGAACTTGATATGTATTCTTTTTTCTGATCCTCACAACAGCCCTGTGAGGTAGGCTGGGCAGGTGGTATTATCCCATTCTACAAGTGAGGGAGGAAACAGGTCCACCGGACTACATAACAGAACTGGGACTAGGACCAGGTTTTCTTGACTCCTGATCCAACCTTCTTTCCCCCAAGTCCTGCCCAGTAGCCATGTCCCCCGAATGGAGAAGGGGAGCCCTTTTATCCACACACCCCAAATAGGCATCAGGGAGATGCCCTGTGGGCAGCCCCATTACTAGAGGTATTTAAGCAGAGGCTCTTGGGGATGTCAAGGGGCTAGGGCTAGGCTGTTCTTAAGTCTGTCCCAACTCTTCAAGGGTGTTAGGGTAGCCTGATGCGTTGTGGCTGCAGTTCTGCCCATCCTGGGGTGGGGGTGGGGTCTGTCAGGCCATCACTCCTCGCTGGAAAGAGATGGTATCATTGCTCATTTTGTAGCATCGTAGGATTCAGAGCTGGAAGCGACCTTGGAGAGTTAATGTAGTCCCCTTATTTTACAGATGAGGAAACTGAAGCCATTTCTCATAGCAGTTAGCGGAGACGGGATTCTTGGTCCCGTATCTGCTGCTCTTTGCCCAATACTGTGATGCTTTCCGTCCTAATCTTGTAGTGCCTTCATGGATATCCCCGCTTCTTGGAGGTCTGACAAGGTCCTGAGGAAGAGTAAGCCATACAGTAGAGGTGGGCAACGCATTGTCCCTGCCCTCATCTGGGCCCTCCTCCCTGCACTCCCTCAGCCTTCTTCTTTCTCTCTCGCTGGCCCAGTCTGGAGCAGAGTGGGGGTATTCCTTTGAAAGTGAGGATGTAGGGATCCATAAAAGCTCCTCATCAAAGTCTCAGGGTTCACTGCATCCCTAATCCCCTCAACCCAAATCCGGACAATATACCTCTTTTTCTCCACATCCTGGATGGTCTCAGGAAGCTTTGCATTGCGTGTTTCTGGCAGCAGGAGGGCAGTGGCCGAAGCCAAAAGGGCAATCCCACTATAGGTGACCTTGGGCAGTGGGGGCCATATCCCTTCCAGCAAGGTGGCCAGTGGTGCAAGGGAGCCCCCAAACCGGCCCACCAGAGATGTCAGTCCCAAGCCTGTCTGTCTGTGCCAGGGAAGCAGGAAAACAGAGGATTCAGAGGGAGGTGGTGAGCCTCAAACCACCCACCTCTGACCAACTGATGGACAACCTGCCCACTTTATCATGGATCAAATGATAAACTGCAGGACCTTCTTCACCAATTACAGAGGTTCAACAGGATAAAGAGCTATAAGAGATCATCTAGTCCTTGGCAAATGGTGAAACTGAGTCTCAGAGAGAGGATGACACATATAAGTGATCCTTACCACCACCACCCTGGGTAATGAGAATATATATATATAATCCCTATTTTACAGATGGGGAAACTGAGGCTCAAAGAGATTTTTAAGAGATATACCCAAGGTCACATAGCTAAGAAGTGGCAGAGGTCAGATTTAAACCACTCCAAATCTAGCATCTCATCCTAGTCCTCTTCCATATCTCTCACACTGGTAGGAATTGAAAGGGATCATTTAGTCCAAGCCCCCTCATTTTTGAGGTCAGGAACCTCAGGCCCAGAGAGGGAAATATATGACTAGTCAGAGTCAAGATTAGAACCTAGGTCTTCAGACTGCAAATTCAGAGCTCTTTCCATCAAGCCACTCTCCAAAGCATTTTCTCATTCAATATCTTATTTCAGAGACAATGTCATAGGTAGAACACAGGGTTTGGCAATCAGGAAGACCTAGGTTCAAATCATGCCTCTGATATTTAGTAGTTATGGTGACTGTGGACAAATCCTCTTTCACACCTCTCTTAGCCATGGGCAACTTTCTGAGACTATATATAAAATATAGAGGAAATTCCCTTACTCATGTCATTTGAGCCTCAAGACCAAAGCTTTGTGCTGGATAAGGTTTTTTACCTCCCCTCTTCTCCTAACACCCATACACAGGTTGTTGGTGGTGTTGGTCAGTTGTTTTATTGTTGCTGAGTTGTTTTATTCATGTCCAACACTTCGTTACCCCATTTGGGGCTTCCTTGGCAAAGATACTGGAATGGTTTGCCATTTTCTTCTCTGGCTCATTTTACAGATGAGTAAACTGAGGCAAACAAGGTTACGTGACTTGCCCAGGGTCACACAACTAGTAAGTATCTGTGGTCAGATTTGAACTCAGGTCTTCCTGTCTCCAGGGCCTGTGCTCTACCTACTGCACCACCTACCTGCCTATAAACAGACAAGGTCAGATTAAAATGAATACCAGGATGGCTCTGAATAGGAATAGAGGTCTTAAAAGGACAATCATTTTCAAGAAGAGGAAAGACTCCCACCTATTTTTTTTTTTTTTGGTTGTTGTTGGTTGTTTGTTGGCTAGGCAATGGGCTTAAGTGACTTGCCCAGGGTCATACAGCTAGTAAGTGTTAAGTGACTGAGGCCAGATTTGAACTCAGGTCTTCCTGACTCCAGGGCCAGTGCTCTATCCACTACACCACCTAGCTGCTCCCCCACCTATTTTTAAAAGCGAAGTAAGGCACCTGTATAACCTATATCTGATTGCTTACATTCTCAGGGAGAGAGGGATAGAATTTGGAACTCAAAATTTAAAAAAAAGTTTAAAGATTGTTTTAACATGTAATTGGGGAAGAAATAAAATATATTATTAAAAAATGGAGTAAAGGTAGGGAGGGGGTGCGTTGATGCTTGGTATTTGAATGTCATGTCTTTTTAGTATCAGCTAGGAGCTAGCTAACCCCTGCTTGCACCCAGCATCCTCCTGGCTCACTGCTGAAGCAGGGAGGTCTGACCCCATTCATGGTCCTGTGTTCTCAGTCTGCTCCCATGACCCTGAGAGGCAGGCAGAGCCTACTATCCAAGTGCCCAATAGGTAATGAACAAACCACATCAGTAGCTGCTCTTTATGTCCCAGAATCCCAGAGTTGGAAAGTACTTCAGGAATGATCCAGTCAACTCCACGCCAATTTAAAGCTGGGAAGAAATTCCATCTATGACAACTCTAGCCTTCACATATGGGATGTCCCAAAAGTATTAATGTCGTTTTAAGCTTATCAACTCACTAAGCCTTTTGGGACACCTTGTACAGAGTTCCAGTGAGGGTAAGACTACTCTGCCCCTTCCTGCCCCTTGCTGGTCCAGTCCACTTCTGGATAGCTCCAATTGTTAGGAAATTTTTCCTTAAATTGAGCGTAAATCTGCCTCTTTGAACCTTTATCTATTAATTCTTTTTTTTTCTTTTTGCAAAGCAATTGGGGTTAAGTGATTTGCCCAGGGTCACACAGCTAGTAAATGTCAAGCATCTGAGGCCACATTGGAACTCAGGTCCTCCTGACTCCAGGGTTGGTGCTCTATCCAACACCTATTAATTCTAATCGCAATCTCTGGGACCTAGCAGAACAACTCTAATCCCTATTCTCTTATAGTGTTGTGTTTTTTGTTTGTTTGTTCTGGTGGTTTGGGGGGGGTGGTTTGTTTGTTTTTTTTTTTTGGTGGAGTGGAGGGGTTAAGTGACTTGCCTAAGATCACACAACTAATAAATGTCTGAGGCTAGATTTGAACTCGGGTCCTGCTGACTCCAAGACTAGTGCTCTATCCTCTTAACAATATTTTAAATGCTTGAAGAGAGCTATCCTCTTCCAAAGTCATTTCTTGAGGTTCAATATTTCCCCTTTACCCTGATCCTTCTCTGGCAAACCCTCCAGTGTAGTCCTTCCCAATTACAAAGTGCTTTGTAGATCTTACCCATTTAAGCCTCACAGATGTTTGTTCAATTCAATTGATTTCAATTCAATTTAACTGCATTTTATAGATGAGGCTCAAGGTCATATAGTAGGCACAGTGGGGAGGAAGAGCCTAGATTTCCATACTCTTCTAAACAGAGACAGACCTAACAACAGAGGCTTGTTTCCTTCCAGGTACTTAGACCAGTTCTGATGTTTGCTGGGCATACCACCTGCTGGGTATGGCCCTGGGCAGCAAAGTCTAGATAGAGTGGTGTGTGTGTTTGTGTGTGTGTGTGTGTGTGTGTGTGTGTAAATGTGTGCACGAGAGAGAAAGAGGAAAAGAGAGAAGAGACAGAGAGAGAAGAGAGAAGTGGGGGGAGAGATAGAGACAGAGAGGAGAGACAGAGACAGAAAGAGAGAGATCTCAGAGGGTGGAGAAGTAGGGTAGAATATGGAGAGGTGTTCCTAGGTGAAGCTCTGCTGGGGCACAGGACTGAAATGAGAAGAGGTGAAGATTGGTGGTAAAGTCCCAGACTCACCTTAGTACAGTGGGGTACAGCTCTGATGTGAACAGGTAGGCAGTGGTGAAGGATGCTTCTGAAAAGCCTTTTCCAGTCACTTTCAGGACTAATCTCCATGCCACCAACCCTGGGGGGGGGGGGAAGAATGCTGGGGAGTGACTGGGGACCTTCTCTGGGTTGCTTGTCAAGGAGGGGAGAAGTCGGGGAGGGATGCAGGTAGCAGGCATCTCACAAGGAGAGTGAGGCTTTTCAGAATCATAGAGCCATAGAATTTTGAAAAGTTAGAAGGATCACAGCTACAAGCGTAGGATTTAGACCTTAAAAGAAGTTTGGAGATCGTCTAGCCCAGGCCCATTTTACAGATGAGGGAACTAAGGGCTGGACTGGGAGAAATGACTTGCCCAAGGTCAAAGAATCAGATGGTAGTCAAGGCAGAACTAGAACCTAGAGGTCTTCACTCCTAGTCCAGGACTCTTTTCTAGTGCATCAAAGATCCCCGACAAGAGCAGAAAATTTAGCCTCCAAGGGAGGGAAGAGGGAAAAGGAAAATCAGGGAAGGAGAGAGGGAAGGTGGGTGTGAGGAAAGGAGGGAGGAAGGGAGGAAGAAATGAAAGAAGGAAGAAAGGAAAGAAGAAAGGGACGGAAGGAGGAAGGGAGGAAGGGAAGGTGGGACAAAGGAAACAATTATTTATCAAGCACCTGCTATACGCCAGGCACTACACTAAGCCCTTTACAAATATTATCTCAGAGAGAGTATAGGGCTCACTCCAGGGGGGGTCTGGAATCTGGCAGTGCAGTGGGTCTAAGGAAGAATTCCTGGGGACTCACCGGAGGGCAGTAGCAGATTAGCGCCCACAGTGAGGGCAGTGCCCAGCAGGGCCCCCACCTGAGTGAAGCGGCGCCCTGCGTAGCGTACTGACAGGTAGACAATCATCTTGAAGGGCACCTCCACTGCCCCAAACAGCAGCTGTGTCTGGTACATGTTCAGCCCGAGCTCTGACAGGTCCAGGCTCAGGCCATAGTATGAGAAGTTCACCCCAAACCTGTGATGATGGGAGGAGGAGGGTCTGCGACACTGTAATCCCTGGCTCACACACTCCCCCCAGATTCCCCTCTTTTCTCCTTCCCCTCCCCAGATCCTCCCTGACACCTACCTCTCAGATGCCTCCTTCCTTCAGACCTCACTGCCCTGCTGACTCCCTCATCCTCCAGTCTTCCTTTCAGGCACCCCGTCACACAATCCGCTCTGTACCCCTCTTTGTAATCTTCCCCTGGGACCTCTGCTTCTTCACTCCTCCTTCACCAATTTACACCCTCCCCACCAACAAGACCTTTCTACTACCCCGGGCCCTGGAACTGGGCTGGTTCTGGGTCCTCCCTAGTCCCACCCTCTCTCAGGCTGGACTTTTCTAGAACCAGTCATTTTAAGATAGACCCTTTTCCTTCAGAGAACCCAGGCAGGGGGGTCCAGCCCAGCCATACCCCCTTCGGGTTGGGGCCCCAGTTCTCACCACACCACCATGCAACACAGGGAGATGTGCCGGAGCCGGGGTGTCCGGAACAAGTCCAGGTAAGAAGGCCTTCTAACCACCTTTTCCCTTTCAGCCACCAGACTCAGGGCCTGGGATTAGGGAAAGGGATTTATCCAGATTGTTGTTGTTCGTCCTTCATTCTCAAAGAGGACCAATGACATCAGGAGGGTGATGTCTTGACTTGCAAGTGAATTGGATTTAACTGAGGCAGAGCTGTGCAGAGTCACCAGCCCCACTCTCTCCTCCAGGGTCACCAGAGTCTAGTGGCCAGACATAGGTCAAGATCACCGGCGATGGCCCCCACTTTACCCAGGAGAATCATCAGGGAGGCTGTGGGAATTTGGGGACGTACAGAATCAAAATCCTGGAATGGAAGAGCTGAGAGCTGCCTCAGGGGCCATGCCACACAACTCACTAATTTTACAAATTTGTTTGTCTTTTCCCATTTTGTTGTTTTTATACTTTCTTTGTTTCCCTGGTGTCTAGGACATTGCCTGGCAAATAGAAAGCATTTCATAAATGCTTGACACAGAGAAAGGAAGAACTGAGGTTTCCTCTTCTCAGAAAGGGAAGTGACTTGGGCAAGGTCATACCACCACGCAGTAGATGGCAAGGGGGCAGCTGGGTGGCACAGTGGATAGAGTGCTGGGCCTGGAGTCAGGAAGACCTGAGTTCACATCTAGCCTCAGTCACTTATTAGCTATGAGTTCCTGGACAAGTCACTTAACCCTGCTTGCCTCAGTTTCCTCATCTGCAAAATAAGCTGGAGAAGGAAATGGCAAACCACTCTAGCATCTTTGCCAAGAAAACCCCAAATGGGGTTGCCAAGAGTCAAATCATGACTGAACAACAAGTAGATGGCAGGGCCGGCTAGACCCAAGACCTCTGTCTCCTCTAAATCCATCTCTTCCTTGAACCACCCTCCCAACACCACCTCAAACTCAAGGAGTCCAAAACTCAGCCCAATATCTTTCCCCCCAAAACTGTCTTCCTCTTAACTTCCCCATGTCTTGTTAATGGTACCACTAATCTTCCAGTTTTGAAACCTCTCTGCCTCACACTCTGCTTCCCTAATATCCAGTACCTTCATTTTAGGAGGATTGGGGGTGGGGTTGGGATGGACTGAGGTCCAGGGAAGGGAAGTAAGGTTACATAATCAGTCTAAGGTCACATAATCAGTAACCATTAGATTACTTAACCCGTGTCGCCTAGCTCTTTCCACTACCCGCCTGTGTGTCTATGGATGTGGGGGCTGGGGGACACAGTGTTCATGAAGGATCCAAATGAAAGGTGAATGGTAGTCATAGGAGAGTCTGATGCTTATGCCCCCGCTCCCCGAGTCTATTGGACTTCCCTCCATTTCTAAAGGGCCAAGGGGTGTGTGTGAAGGTGGTGTAGACCATGACCAAGACTGTCCCCCCCAGCTCCACCTTACCTCAATGCTTAGTTTTTCCCTAGCTTGGGGCCGGCCATTGAGCGCTGCACATTGGAGGAGATAATGTTGGGCTTCCTTTATCCTACCCTGGGTCAGAAGCCATCGCGCAGACTCAGGCACCCACCTGGGGGGGCAGGAGGCAGAGGGTGGACTACTCCAAACAGAGAGGAGCCCGTGATAGTGAGAGGGGCAGACCAGAGGGATGGGGTGGGGAACAGGGGTACCCCAAATCAAACTAGTCTCTGGGCCTTAGCCTTTATGTAAGGATGGGATCCCAGGACTGAAAACTAAGAGTCTAGGGAAACTCATTCTTTTTTTTTTGAAACCCACTCTTAATGCCAAGGTGTGCAGGTACCATCTTCTAAGAGAATGGAAGAGTGAGGGAGAGATGGTTCAAACCACCCAGCGGATCACCCACGTGAGTGTCCTGCTTTGGAACACAGTGGGCTATATGGCTCTCCCCTCCCCCCATTTCCTCAGTTCTCAATGCCCCATAGCCGTGCACTCATCTCACCAGAGGCTGAGGATGCCCAGGGCGCAGGGCAGGGTCACAGCCAGCAGCAGCCAGCGCCAGTCTCGGATCAGGTAGCCAACCAACGCCAACAGCATCACCCCCCCAGACCAGAAGGTGCTGCTGAGCACGCCGGCCACAGTGCGATGTTCAACATCTAACCACTCTAATTCTGGGTTGCAGGAAGGTGTGCAGGGTATGGGGGGAGACAGAGACAACGAGAGAGCAAGCGAGAGAGAGAGACAGACAGAGAGAGACAGAGACAGACAGAGAGACACAGAGAGACACACACAGAGACAGAGACACACACACAGAGACAGAGACACAGACAGAGACACACACAGAGAGACAGAGAGAGAGAGAGAGAGGAGCGAAGGATGTAGAAAGAGGGACAGGGACAGAGAGGCAGAGACAGATAGAAAGACAGAGGCACAGAGGTCCAGATACCAAGGATGCAGAAAAAAAGGGAAGGAGACAGAGACAGGGAGAGAACAAAGGACACAGAAAGAGGGACAGAGATAGGGAGAGAGAGACAGACAACATAGGGACAGAGACAGGGACAGACAAGAAGAAATAGAAAAAGAGAGAGACAAAGATAAAGAAAAAGAAATACAGATGAAAGACCTGAGTTTGTAATTACTTGGCCCTCAGAAACTTCCCGTCCTCCCAACCTGATCCTCCCCCTCCCAAAGAAATCTTCAATTCCTACAGAAATCCTGGTTCCACTAGGACCCCAGGCCATGGTCCAGTCATCTAATCAGACCCTTTCCATCCCTTTGCCCACACCAGGGCAGGGAACATGCTACCTCTCACTCCGTCCCTCCTCCCTGTGTGCCCTGGAGCCCTCCACCCCCAGGCAGGCTCTTACCTAGGGGCAAGACAATTATAGTGAAGCCTGCTATGGCAACACCTGTGAGGCTGCGAGTGATGACAAACATGATGTAGCTGACAGAAAAGGCGGAGACCAGGCCCAGGGCTAGCGTGCTCACGTAGGTTACCAAGAGCAGTGGGCGTCTCCCAAACCTGGCATCAGAGTCATACAGGAATCAGGCCTTCCAAGGGATCAAGAAGGCAATGCTCCCTCCTCCCTTGAATGGAGACTTCTGCCTGGGAAATAAGTCATGGAACCCAAAACATACTTCTAGCCAGGGGATGAAGGGGTGTGTCCTTAGGCTGTGGGACTATACTGGCATGGGGGGGTGGGGCAGTGGGAGGGCACATCCTAAGCAGAAAGAGATCACAGCATGGCACCAGGGGCCTGGGTCTGGCCAAGATGGACCCAGAAGGTGCAGGTTAGGTTGCAGAGCCCAGTTGACTTCCCTGGTTATTCACCCCAGGCCCTCTGCACCCCTGTACCTGTCAGACAAGTATCCAAAGATCACGGCCCCCACGAGCACACCAATGAAGAAGAGGGTGGAGATGGCGCGATTCAGTCCCTTTCGCTCGCACACTAGGTCCCACTAGATTGAGGCAGGGGTTGTAGGGCGTCCCTAGGCAGAGACTTGCATCTTGCCTGCTGTCTGCCTTGGCCACTGTCCTAGACAACTTATGCTGGCATCCATAGAGGACACAGGACTGTGGCTCGGGCTGCCCTGGAGCCTCCCACTCTCTGGAGTCCATCATCCACCACCCTGCCTCCAAGGAGTATGCTCTCCCCTCCCACTCGTGCCTTTATCCCACAGGGAGGTAGAAAGACATGGCCTGAACCAGCTTTTCTTTCTATTTCCCACCAAGATCATATAATCCACCTCCTACTTTTATCCCAGATCAAGGATTGGGGATAAGTCTATTACATTGTTCTTGATTTGATAATCAACAAACATTTATTATTCTACTGTTTTATGTAAAGAAGTGGGCTAGGGGCTGGGACTACTAAAGACTTTTTTAAAAGGACATAATCCCTACCCTAACAGGATTTCAGAGTTGGCAGAGTCCTTAGCGGGACCTCCTTTGACAAATGAGGGAAACTGAGGCTCAGAGAGGGTAAATGATTTACCCAAAGTCACAAAGCTAGTGAGACTAGACCTTAGATCCCTTATTCCTAATGTCTTACTCTTTCCATCCCACTGTACTCTTGCTCACACATTCAAGAGTATTTCCTATGTCCTTAGCTCCTGCCATCTTTCCCTCTCCTTGTGTTGCATATGGTAGTGGAATGAACACCGGGTCTGGAACCAGAAGTCCCAGGTTCAAATATTGGCTTTACTACTTACTACCTATGTGACCTTGGTCATTAGTTGACTTCTCTGGAGCTCAGTAGCTTCCTTTGTAAAATGAAGGAATGAGTCCCTTCCAGCTCTGGATCTGGTCCCTTGCCTCTTTCCTGGGAATATGTAAGTAGGGGAATAGGGTATCCTTTTCATTCTTAAAGTTTCCACGCATTTGGACTGATATGAGTCACTCTTCCCTTCTACCCTTCTCAAGTATCCATAGACTCTTAGCATTGGTGGGACCTGAGAGATCCTGTATTCTAAGAAATCCTTCTCAGCCTGATGTCCAAGTATGACAGGAGACAGTGAATCTTACCTGGGTAGCAATAGTGGAGTAGAACTGTGATTGGTCATATTCCCAGCCTTCAGGACATGGCACAATTTGGTCCTCCCCTGCCCCTTGGCTAGCGTTGGAGAGTGAGTGTGGGTAGAGATATCGGTAGCAGGAGCTGAGGCTACCATCAAGCTCCCGGGGCAAGTAGGCTTCCAGCCAAGCTGTCTCTTGGGTGAGGTTGTTGAGAAGGTCTTGGGCTGGCAGGGTACAATGGTGGATGGGCACTGCAGCCATGAAAATTGGCAAGAGGAAGTTCAGAGGCAGCAGAATCCTGGGCAGTGCCAACAGCAACAGATTTCGAATCTGGAAGGGGCCAAAGCCACCCACCTCCTTCAGGATCTCCTCAAAGGCCATGTCTCTCACCTGGACATGGGTCCCTGGCTGTCAGGCACCTACTTGTTAAATCCACTTCATGGACTCTGGGAGAAATCTAAGAGTCAGCAACCTGGGTGAGTTGAGAACCCGCCCACTCTGGGGGCTGGGCTAGGCTAAGGTAGAGAGAAGCTGCTTGGGTGGATATATAGGCAGGCTGAGGGCCATCTATGTCCTTACTCTCACCCCCCCCCCCCCAAGAACCCATATCAGGGTTGTTACTCACCTATTTAGCCCAGTATCAATACATTGGCAAGAGACATTATTCAGGAGGGGTCATTGGGGAAAAGAGGAGGGAGAGCAGAGGGGAGGTCAGACCTGAGAAGGGACACTGAGATGGCCTTTTGTCTCTCCCCCAAGACTTAGAGGTCCAGAAAATACTCAGTGTACAATGATAATAAACTCTTGGTTATCATCATGGTATGAGCTGGTCAAAGGGAGTGGACAAGAAGGTGCTAATGCTAAGAGTTAAGACTTAGACCATCCCCATTTGACACTCTTTTTCCCAGGGCCTGGCTAACCCTTTACCCCAACACTGGTGTAGCCTTTGCTACATTCAACAAACACTTTTTAAGCACCTGCTGTGTCTTGTACCATGCAAGTCTCTGGGGACAAAAAGGCAAAAATGAAACTGTTCATTCCTACCCTTTAGAGTTTCCCTCTCTCCCAATGTTCAACCCTCCTCCAGGTTCCCCTAGCGCCGGTTCTCCCCCTCAGTGTCACTGGCTGCCCATATCCCAATGTCTCAGCTTCCTCCCCATCATGCCCCATAGTAGAGCTCAAAGGCTCTACTTTCCCAGCCTGAATAAGTGAACTCATGCAGTAGGTTCAGGCTAGGGCAAAGGTGGGGAGATCCTGGGCATCATGCCAATCTGTGCAGTATGCCCTTTGTCTTTGGTTCCCTGAAGTTACCTGGATGTCTTTAAAGTGACAGGAGACAGAAGGGTTTCAGGGCCAATGGCATTCGCAGTGTCTAGAAGCCCAGACCCAGGGCCACTGACCCTGGTCCCAAGGTTGACTCCCTGTGGGCATCGTTTTGTCTCAGTGATCCTGGGCCAAGGTCCTAGCACATTCTAGCAAGAGCCTTTCTATTATACTTCAAAGCTTTGTCTTCCAGTATCCTCATTCCTCTGCTTCCTCTGCCCCCATCATTCCCAGGAATTTATTTCTGGCCCCAGTCCCTTCAACCCCAGGACTCCTTATCCACTCCTGGCCTTCAGCTCAGCTCTCTTTCCTCCTAGTCTCCCTAGCTCCTTTTAGCCACCCCTCTTCCTTTCAGTCTTTCCTCAGGTCCCATTCTCTGCCTGGAGGTGCCAACCCGGGGTCTGAGGCTCAACTTGGCAGCTTACTGGTTGTGTGATACTGGGTAAACTCTGATAGTTTCTCCATCCCCAAATAAGAATAATCATGCCTCCCTGCAAGAATGTTGCCAGCAAGACTCTTTGTAAACAGTGAAGTGCTATGAACTGTTAGTAGAATAATTAATATATCATCATAACCAGTTGATGACTCTGAATGGACAGCCTCAGTAATATGGTGGCATAATGTTCATGGAAGTGCCAGCTTCCTCCCTGGACCCAGTGGAAGGGCCAGAGCTTTGAACATGAAAAATAAATACAAATTATCACTGCCTGTCAGTGCAGAAAGTTATGGTTGTTCTCAATTCAATTCAACCACCATTTATTAAGTGCCTACTACATACAAAGCACCTAGTCCCTGGGGATACTGATATGGAATAATAATGATAGCTAACATTTATATAGGGATAGCTTGATGGTAGTGGATAGAGCACAGAAAATGGGGACTCACCAGAGAAAGAGATGGCAAACTACTCCAGTACTTTTGTAGAGATAGAATCAGACACAACTGAACAACAAGAAGAACAGCATTTACAAAACATGACACAAGTATTATCTCATTTTGTCTTCACAACAATCCCATGAGGTAGGTGCTGTTGTTGAGGAACTCATGAGGCACATGAGGAAGCTGAGGCTAAGAAAGGTTAAGTGACTGCCCAGTGTCACACAGCTAATAAGTATCTGAGGCTGGATTTGAATTCAGGTCTTCCTGACTCTAGATTCAATGCTTCATCCACTATACCATCTAGCTGCCAAAAGAAAATGAAAAAAAAAAAAAAAAGCCCCTAAGGAGCTTATTATAGTTTACTATTCTTGAAGCCAGACAATGGGTCCCCAGGACTAATCGGACCCAAGGTGACTATAACATCATAAGATCATGGGATTTAGAACAGGAAGAGACTTTAGATCTCGTTCAACCTTCATTTTACATTTAAGGAAGCTGAGGCTCAAGGAGATGATGTCACACATTCCAAAATGATCTCAGTGGGTATCTGATCTAACCTATACCTCAATTCTTTAATTTTTTTTAAAAAAGTTTTATTGATGCTCTCTTCTTTTCTTCCTTCATTTTTGTTCTTTCCTTCTCTTTCTTCATTTTCTTCTTTCTTTACTTCTTTCCTTCCTTTCTTTTCTTTCTTCCTTCCTCTTTCTTTCTTCCTTTCTTTCTTTCCTTTTTTCTTTCTTCAAAATGACTATCCACCATGTCTCCCAACCAGCTTTCTGCTCTTCCATTGTCCCCAGTTCCTCAGTTCCCATTCCACCACAGAACCCTGCCTTGTAACAAATAAGGAGAGTCAAGGAAAAACAAATTTTCACATTGATCTTCTCCGGTAATATATGTCTCATTCTGCATCTATCAGTATTGGTCTCAGGATCCCTGGTCTCACACCTTCACCAATTCCCCCTACTCTCTTTGATCCTAGAATCCATCCAGGACAACTGAGCGATGGGAAGCCATACTGCCCACTGGGAAGGTTCTCCCCTCCTTGCTTCCCACCCCACCCCTACTCCCCTGGCCATGGGCCCCAGATCCTAGAACCCATCCAAGGCAGAGTGTGGGGAAGACCTACCATCACTAGACATACCCTGTCACCTTTCCTTCCTCCATGCTCCCCCTATCAGGATGCCCAGAACCCTTCAGGGCTGCTTGACTGTTCACAAGGCTTGGATGAGATTGAAAATGACCAACTCGGGCCAGCTAGGTGGCTCAGTGGATAGAGTACTGACCCTGCAGTCAGGAGGACCTGAGTTTAAATCTGGCCTCAGACACATAATACTTCCTACCTGTATGACTCTGGGCAAGTCACTTAACCCCAATTGCCTCACTAAAAAAAAAAAAAAATGACCAACTTTTATGACTTCTGGTCAGTTGGAGGACCATTTAGCCTTACTGTTTTCCCTGCCTCTATATCCTGCAGACCCCAGGCATTATCATCTGACCAGTTCCCATAGACTGATGGCCCCTGGGCCTTGCCATCCATCCCACGGATTGCACTTAGATTATGAGCTGCTTGACAGCAAGGGCTATATCATTTTTTCTATTTACTTAGCACAATACTTGGCACATAGTAAGCACTTTAAAAAATGCTTTTTCATTCATTCACCTGTAGTCTATCAGTGTAAAACATGCTTCACCATTAGTCCTCTGGAGTCCCCAGTGGTCACTGTATTGATTAGAGTTTTGAAGTCTTTAAATATTGTTTTTTATATTATTATGGTCATCATGTAAGTTGTTCTCTATGTTGCATTCATTTTGCACTGCATTTGTTCGTCTAAGTCTTCCTAAGCTTCTCTGAAGTTTTCATAATCATCATTTCTTAAGGCACCATAATATCCCATTACAGTCATAGGCCATGATTTATTGTTAGTCTATCATTCCCCCCAATCAATGTGCACCCACTTCTCTTTCAATTCTTTGCAACTGTACCATGTGCTCCTGTTTGCCCTCTTATCTCTTTGTAGTGTTTGCCCCTGGACCCAGGGTGATGACTGAGAGAAAGGAAGACTGGCAGAGCAGTTTCTGATGACCCTGGCCCAGTAGAGGATGAATGCCCTTCTGGGATCCCTTCACTAGGGATTTCAGTGAACTCGCCCTTGCAAAAGAGGAGAAGTCCTCTGAGAGGAAAAGTGGGAATATGTATACTGTGGTGTACAAGATTGGCTTCCTCTCTTCCTTCTGCTAACCTCCAACTTGGACTTTTTGGAGAGATTAGGGTGAGCAGCTGGTCAGTGGGTACAGATGAAGGTCCACAAAGAACATGACCAGTGACACATTGAAACCGTAATGTCTGGAGAACAAGACAGCCAGGGGTTAATGCCATGGAGGAGGTTCAGATCCTGAGAGTGAGACAACCAGAGATGACGTGAAGTGAGAAGACTGCCAGTTCTTGGCTGGTAAGATGAGGGAGGCCAATTTTCCTCACTGTCTTTCCTACTTGTTCCTAATCCAAAATCCTGAAATAGGATATTGACAGCTGATTTCTTTCTTCCTTTACCACTAGTTGCTGGTATGTGTGGCCAGGGCATCTCCCAGACCATATATTAAAAGATCTGGAAGGGTCAGCAGGAGATGACTGGAAACATATAGTTCTATATAGGAGTATTTGGTCTATTTCCTTTCCATTTTATTCTATGTACAATAGACGATATGACCACAATATGCTAAGTCCCTGAGTCTTGTGAATTCAGGAGGCTATGACCAGAGAGAGGGAAGCCCAGACAAAATATGGCTTCATGAGCATATTACAAATAGTAGATTTGATCTTTTAAGCAATCTCCTAGACTGATTTTGGACCTGGTCATTAAGGGTTAGCCCAAACTGCTTAGCACCTCCACTGAAGTGTGGGTTCGTGGTCAGAGGAAAAGCTTAGGCATTTATAGATCAAGAGCTATCTAGTGGCCAGAGGAAAGTTTATCTCTCTCTCTCTCTCTCTCTCTCACACACACACACACACACACACACACACACACACACACACACTACTGAGAGAAACTGACAGCCTGCTATGTTGGTAACTCAAATGAAGTTCCATTTGGTGAATAACTCATGTAGTACTCTCTTGCTGGATAATTAATACAGGGACACACTGCCTTTCTGTAGGCTTACAGACTTACTTTGGAAAACCAAAGGGAACTCAATTACAAAAAAAGTTATTATAAATCAATTTATATATATGGTACCTTCCTCTTTGTATTTGGCCACCTTGA